CAAATCGCACTCTCGCCTGCATTTCGCGCACTCGACACGCACGATCTCCGCAGAGGGTTGCCCGCGACAAACCCAAATCGCACTCTCGCCTGCATTTCGTTCGCTCGACACGCACGATCTCCGCAGAGGGTTGCGTTTCGTGGCGCTCCGGCGGTACTGCCCCCGGCCTTAAGAGAGAAAGTCAAGAAGAGCGAGAGGTGAAGATGTGAGATGTAGATGTGTGGATGTGAAGATGAGCAGAGATGTAGATGTGCAGTTGTGAATGTAGATGTGATGTGAGGATGTGAAGACGAGCAGAGATGTAGATGTGCAGTTGTGAATGTGGATGTGAAGATGAGCAGTGGATGTGCAGAGGTGAAGATGTGAAGATGTAGATAGATGAGACGTAGTTCTTCTGCAGATGTTTTTTTACGAAGAACCCTTCGCAGACGCTCTCGGGAAAAAGACAAAGAAGCAGGGGGCCACCGGGGTCCCAGAGGAGCGGTGGCCAACGAAGACCTCCTTTGGGAACCGTGTAAACGTACCTGCATTTTAAAATACTGTTTAACCATGCAACTCAGTAAAGCGGCTAATGCATAGGCGGTCTGCTAGGTATTCAGTAAAGCGGGTAATGCATAGGAGCTGCAGACTTGCACCAAACAATTGTTCAAACACCTTCAAGTGCTCCGACCCTTTCACCCTTCGGTTCCATCACCATTTTTCCTGGGAATTGAGTTAACTGAAAACCAATGTCAGAGTGTGACTCGCTCAGTCGTCCCACTTAAGTGCTGGGTGTGATCCTCCGCAAGGAGGCGCCGTTTTCACTCCGGAATTCGTGTAACAGACTCCACCGTTTCCTCAATGCTTTGGATTCTCTTAACTGATTTGGTCTCACCGTTGTATTCCCTGCAACTTACGCCGCCGGGCTTCACGGAATTTCCACCTGCTTTGATTTGGTCCACCTTCACGTTTGTTTTTCATGATTTGCGCAGCTCGCTTTCGATTTCAAGAGTGTACAGCACCACGTTACCAACCGTGACCATTTTGAGACCAGCGACGCTACTGTCCACACTTCCATGATTTTCACCCATGCGGTTTTTGAGGTACATGTCGCAGGGTCACCAAGCTAGCAGCTAGGTAGCGATCCTGTTGCATGCGCTTGTCATGCTCTTGGGTTCTTTCTCTCTTTCTGTTGCTTTTCGTTTCTTGAGGCCTTTCTTTCGGTTCCAGGTGCCTTTCCGACAAGGGTGCGCCGGCCCTAAATCGGCTTTACTTGAATGTCAGTGATGGCAATGCCTTCGGGCTCCCCTCCCTGCCCCTGGCCTCTGTTGCTATCCCACCCGCTATCTAGGGTTATAGAAGGAAATCGGACTCAACACACTTGTGTGTTGGTGCCTTTCCTTCTATTTCTCCTGTCCTACTTCTAGCTACCCGGGCGGTATAAGACAAAAGTCCCGCTCGCTAGCTTCTGCATGTATTGTAACTAACAGGCTTCGTAACTAGTCGGCCTCGTAACTACTCCTATCTTTCTCTCTTGCCCTCTTCGTTTTATCTTGCTGTTTTTCTTTGTCTGTCTTTCTAAGGCTTTTTAGGTGACTAGTAATCTTCCAGCACGCCGCTATCGGCGTTGTGTGTACAAAGCTGCTGAACAAAATTGTTTGACGCAAGGGGTGCAGAGCGCCAATTGCGGCATAATGTGTGTGTCAACACCTGCTTCCAAGGTTCGTGCCCGGTAAGTATGCATGCAGCAGGTTCCCACTTGAAGAAAGGATGCTACTAATGATTTCTGGCCTCGCTACTAGGAACAAGAGGCCGCTAGAACCAAGGGCATCGCTACTAATTAAGAACAAAGAGGCAGGGACAGGGATGCAGAAAAAGAAAAGAAAAAGACAAAGAAGCAGGGGGCCACCGGGGTCCCAGAGGAGCGGTGGCCAACGAAGACCTCCTCTGGGAACCGTGTAAACGTACCTGCATTTTAAAATACTGCTTAACCATGCAACTCAGTAAAGCGGCTAATGCATAGGCGGTCTGCTAGGTATTCAGTAAAGCGGCTAATGCATAGGCGGTCTGCTAGGTATTCAGTAAAGCGGGTAATGCATAGGAGCTGCAGACTTGCACCAAACAATTGTTCAAACACCTTCAAGTGCTCCGACCCTTTCACCTTTCGGTTCCATCGCCATTTTTCTCCTGCGAATTGAGTTAACTCAAAACCAATGTCAGAGTGTGCGCCGCCCTGCGGCTGTATGTTACTCGGGCATCTTTGGGCCTTTGCGTGCGTAGATGTGCCTGTGTGTGTGCCACACCCCGTTCCGAGGGGCACCTTGATTGGAAACTTGTTCAGCAGGGGCGTACGGCTCGTCATACCCACCGTACGCAATGAAGCTACGGTATGACGAGGGAAGGGTGTGTAGACTGATCATCCACCTGTACCTAACAGTTGCTCGGTTGTTGTGGTCCCTTGGTTTGTTTCATGGTTGTTCATGTACCTGATGGTGTCCCGAATGTTAATATTATCAATTGAATTGTGTAATTCATTTTAAAGGGCTAATGCGTGGTAAAGGGCTAATGCGTGTGTTCAAGCAAGACCTGTTCCTGGCCCATCGCCATGCCGTCCCGCAAGCCAAGTGCCAAGTATTCACTTAAAGGTCTAACGCATTTCTGAACACCACTGAAGTTGATGTTCCTTCAGCGGAACTTTGAGTCTAAGTGTGTTCTGATCTTGTTTTAAAATATGTTCGGTGAGTTTCTGTTCGTTCTATTCTGAGGCCCAAACACTAACATGGGAGGCACATGCTTTTCGTGACGGGTGTGAATCACCTCCAATGCTAACTGCAAGTCCTGCATAGCCTGCAAAGAACGATGTCAAGCAATCAACCAAGCCTGGAGTGGCTAGTTGGTGTCAATCTTCCCTCTTCAGAGATTGGAAAGCCTATCGTGTGAAACGGCCTTGAAACAGTGAAGAGAACAAGCCGTTCCTGAAGATTCATTCACGTTGCCAGATCAAGCTAGATCAAAAGGTGCGACCAAATCTGTTCAAAAGGAATCAAGGCTTGTACAAACTGGTCTACCATCATCAGCCATCTTTAATGTTGTGTCATGTTCTCCCATGTCTCCGTCCATCCTTGGTACTCAAAGCTTCAACTGACTCTAAGCTATCTACCTCTAATCACTGATGCTTCCTTTTTCCCAACCTGCATATCTGCTGCAACTTTGCTTTGCTGCATTTCTTGCATCAAAACAATTGAATGGCGCCATTGTGCTGCTGCACTGCATGCCTAGGTCAGCGAGAAAAGCCCTGGGCTATCTTGAGCTCTTGGCACCGAACACAAAACTACTGAGCTTCCTTTCCATCATCGCTTGCTTTTCCTTCCTACTTGTCTTTCTTTCCGTGTTTTTTGCATTGTGCCTTCAACGTTGCACCAAAGCCAGGCCTTTCTGCCTTTGGTCCCAGGTGCCTGACCAAACTTTGAGCGAGCTCACCCAGACGACATGGACATCTCTAGATTCTAGATAAAGCAACAGGGAATAGCGTGATTTGGATTCTGGCTGCAAAAGAATTGTGAGGCCCAAAAGGCCTCAGGAACTTCAATGTGTCCAACGCTAACGCCCAGTGTAGAGCAAGAGAAAACGCTGAAATTGCAGCATTGTGAGAGGAGACCTCAGCATTCGGCATATTGTTATATATTCATGCAAAGCTGATGGGGTCTCCTCTTTGCCGACGAGAAGCAGTAGGTTCGGCACTTTGTTGACGCATCAGGTGGAAAACTGTGATGGCCACAGGCCAACGCACATTCTTCCCAGCGGCAGAGATGACCACGTTATAGCAAACCTTAAGGGAAGGACTTGCAACGTTAACAACGTTAACTCGGCATGCATTTCTTCTATGGGGTTTTGGGTCAAGTATTTGTGTGCATGAAATGTCTTGCCCTTCAGGTGCAATCCCAAGCTCGAAGAAAAGGACTTGCCCTCAGTGAAAACCCTCTGAAGGTTTCGGAGGGAAGGTGAACATGGCACTCATGGCACGCAAACACTCGCACTTCGCCGACCTTTGTACTCTGAGCTCTGCCTCTGCAGAGTGTCATTAGCGTAGTAATGTGTCTCTCCCTGGTCGTCCTACGTATTCATTTGCAAGCGTTTTGCAAGCTAGTAACGCTAGTATACTGTACAGAAACGACCAACATTTGTGTTTTGTGGGCTTGACCTGGTAGGTCCGTCACTTGAGTGCTGACCCCCAGGACCCACATGGACCCACTGCGTCACCAGCTATTTCGCTGATGCGTGTCAGCTCCACTGACTTGCCAGGAAAACCTCGTGCGATTTGGGTCGATTTGGGCCTACCTGGTTAAAAATACAGTCCTCAGATTCAGAAGTGATGAGAGTAAATCATGGTCCTCAGTGTCATGAGAATTGAGCAACTGGCGGGCAGCTATGATCCCTTGGAAGTAGAGCAAGCACCAAACTGTAGTATGACTTGTATTGAGATCATGAGTGCATGTTCTGAGGTCGCAGCTCATATGTTGGATAAGGATACCTCAAACAAACAAGTGTGTGCTTGGCTTAAACAAACAGCAAATTTGATGCCATTGGTCAAGTCTGAGAATAATGTCATATGTTCGTAAACCTTGCGAGAAAGCAGGAGGAATGGTATCTTTTCAGGGGTCTTGGCGGAATTCTTACTTGTACTCACTGAATGCCATCTGAAAAAGGAAAGCGTGTGACCTTCTATATACATAAGAATGATAATAGCATATGAACAGTTGGTTCCTTGCCACCAAGGAGCAGGGTGGAATCCATCAGGAGCTCTGCCTTGTCCACCTACACTTTTGCGAACCCGTGAGTGCTGCGCACTCACACTGCAGGACTCTTGCGCATGATTCATCGTGTGTATATATATATATATGTCACACTTGACTCAATTCGCACGCTGCAACAGAATGATTCCACAATACAAACAGCCTCAGCATTGTTTTGGTGCAAGTGGTCTTCCACACTATATATGGTCAATAATATATATATATATGTATGGATGGATATATATATATATAGAGATGTGTGTGTGTTTTACATATTTTCATCATGTGTCTGGACTCTTGAAGTGATTATGGCCACCACATACCCATGTAATCCAAGCTGCCGCTGCCCGCAGGGCAACCATCTGTGGCCTGGACACAACACGTCTCGAGTCTCGTTCTCGAGTCACGTGTACTCCATGGCTGAATTGAATGTTGTATCAATGAGCCCACATAGCAAACAGTGCCAGAAAGCCAGGTACCACAATCGTTCAGGGAGCAGCAAGTAATGTAAATAAGTGTATATATGGGGGTTGTCCAACAAAGCTCTTCTTTTTGAGCTTGTATCGCGCGCCTTTCGCGACCCTTTCGCGTTTGCAGAAAAAAATACTACAGGTGTTCCTTTCGCGCATTGCGATGAGCTTGTTCCAGTGCACTGAGTTCACAGTGTTTGGGATATCTAAATCCCTTTTAGTGCGCTGAGAAGCAGGCTGCCCTTTGTCAATTCAAGGCTTATTTCAAGGCCATGGATGGGCAGGTGCCCTTCCAGGCAATGCGCCCTTTCGCAGGCCTACCGCCGGCCTTTCGCGGCCCTTTCGCGAAAATTTGTGTTTCTGTTCGGGAAAAAGGATGTGTCATGTATTGTGCACATTGTATGTAGGTTGGCACATGTCTTTCGCCGTCCTATCGCCGGCCTTTCGCGGACTGCAGTTTCCCTTTCGCGACATGTTTGCTTTAACATTTCATCTAAATTCCTTCACTGGCAATAACGGACGGCCCTCATATAATCAAGTGGGTGAGAAACTGAGATATGCCAAAGCTTGCCAGAACAAGTCGAAAGTTGGTCAAGCCCTTTCAACCAAAGATACAAGTAGGGGGGGTTAGCATCCAACAACGCAAACACCCGTGATCACCATTGATCACCCGTGTTTCTTCACTTCCTTTTGGCGTACTGTAGTTTCTGGTGGGCGGTAGAGTGCCACATTGACATGAAATGCTGTTAGCCCTGTGTAGCCCGAAGCACCCTGCAAGCAAGCGGCTTGACAGTGTCACAAAGGAAGGTGGCTTCTTCAGCCATGGTGGTTGGCTTGGACAAATAAATCGCCTCGTCAAGCTCCAACAACAAGCGGTCATTGTCTAATGTTGAAATGTTTCCTACGGCATGAAAAACCATGGAAGGTTATGTGTCTGTGTGGCACCACATTCAGCCCACGGATGATTGCTCGAGCTTTCGAGGAACGGCAAAGCTACACCTTCTCTGCTGCACAATGCGGGAACGGGCTGTTCAACCAGTTGAAATGACAAATGAATCCCTTGTCCATTCCTCTACCAACCAGGTTCCTCTGCAAACCAATGTGTCCATGGATGTGTCTGCTTATTTCAAGGATTTAGGGCAAAACAGCCAATTGCAATGCCTGCAAGAGGTTGTGCATCAAGCAAGCGGAATACAATAGAAAGCCAAGCAATAACTTGACTACACTGTGTACACTGGACCTTTGCAGCAAACAGCTGCCATTGACAAGGTTAAACACAAGAAGAGTTCACCAAGGCCAACCAACATGTTGAACTCTGCAGCATAGAGCTCTCATCTACATGACAAAGAAAGCAAGAGGAGCTTTCTCCTGTGAGCAGCCCAAAGCACCTTGAGTTTCTCCAGTTGATCAACGATGCTCTCGTAAGTTGCCTTGCGAGTACTGGCCAGCTTCTCCATGCCCTTGAACTTATTCAAATCCTGAAAAAAAGAAAACATTAAACAACGCCATACAAATTCTGAGCACATGGATTCTATATAGATTGTGTCATTACTAACTACGGCTGTTTATAGCAGGCAGCACAGTCTCCTTGGCGCAAGCAGGCAAAATTCTTTGCTGAGTCATCTGGACCATGGTTTCCACCTCACAGCCTCAAGAGGAAATGCTAGAGCAAAAAAATCGACACCCTGTCACCCTCTACCAACAAGATCGCTCCGGCCAATGCCCCTGAGCGCTCGTTTGTGCGCTTGAAATGTACAGTAGTATTTGTAACGCAAAGAATGTCCATTCATTTCAAGTATGTGGGGTGCTGGTAGATCAGCGAGTCTGAGCATCAGAAGCATGTCAGCCTTACACAAACATGGCAGTATCGTCCATTCCATCCCTTACAACTACGGTTTCACTTACTAGTAGGTCTTTGTGTTTTTTCCGTGTCGTCCGATTCTGAGCAACAAAGTGAAGAGATGTAGTTCTCATACATCACCTCCTGACGCGCTTCAGTCTCTTCTGCTGTGTAGATCTTCAAACTTTCAAAGAGCTGCTTGTTTTTCTCGGTGTTCCTCGAATCAGCTGCAAACATAATTAGTTGCCGGCTGAGGAGGGACATCAATCAATTTTGTCAAACACTGCTCACTCAAACCAAAAAGAAACTCATTTGCATGCACCCTGTCAGCGATTCCATTGGATTTCCCTGCAAAAATGGGACAATCAGTGGCCTCCATGACTGAATTGTGCAGACCAGCTACCATTTCGCCAATGCCTTCGGCGTAGTGTTGAGATTGGGCAGGCCCCGCTTGGCAGCTTCAACTGGCCACTCTGCGGAGTAGCCGTTTCCTGCAAAGATCACGTGCTTGTTGTCCTGCGAAAAGCAGTTGAGCCGTTGAACTCAGTTGAACAGTTCCCCTGTAGTGCTACAAAGCACCTGTCTTCTTCGACGTCAAGTGTCTTGAAAGGTGGTTGATGGACAAGGCGAACGAACTGGATGTAAACGAAAAGTAAAAGAGGAAAACAACTGGGCTGGGCCCCCTTTGTATCCTTTGATAGGGTTCCTCCTCAACAGCGCCTTAAGCCTCATTAAAGGAACCTATAAGCACGCAGGTGCTTTAGTGCGTAGCGAAAGGTTCTCGTTTAACTGGGGGTCTGGGGTAGACTCTTGTTCGCGACTGGTTGTCGTAGCGTCCGCAACTGTTCGCAGCCGTCCACGGTAGGTCGCTATGGCGCTGACATTGGGTGAAGCTTTTGGAGAGGGCTTTGGATGGAAGCATGACGTGTCAGAGTCGTGTGAAATAGCGAGGACACCTGTGGAAACGCAACATGCTGAATTGTGGAGGATGATTTCACTGCGCAGGTGCAGCGTTTTGCGAGATCTTCGGGTTTCTTCGCAGTCAGACCGGGATTGGCGTTTAGAGGGCTGTGTTTTTGGGGTGTTGGATGTGGCTGCGACATTGGGATCCGCGTTGCGGGCTGTTGCTTCGAAGCTGTGTTTTCGTGACAAGTCTCAGCTAACAGACGAACACGATTTTGGAGGATGCGAGTGCGCTCAGCACGTGTCGAAATCATTCCAAACGTGTGGCGTGGTGCAAATTTGGCTGAATTGAGACTTTTCGTGCCAGGCACAGTACTTTGTCCATGTTTAGGTGTCGAAGTTAAATTTGTGTAGCGGGCGGCGGGCGCAGGGAATCCTGAGTCCCCGACGGTTGGTGGAAGTGAGTGTCTCTGTGACATTGGGATTGGTGTGTGTGTGGCTTTGAGGCTAGACTTCCCGCTTCACTTTTGAAGAAAGTCTTGCACAAAACGCTCGTCTTTTTATGCATGCTCCATGACTGTTGGAGAAAGTTTTGTCGAAACGCTCGTTTTGCAGATTTGACGTGTGACTTTTGGAGGAAGTCTCCCGTGAAGCACTCGTTTTTCAGATTTGACCTCGGAACTGGCCACTTGGGGGAGTAGCTTTTGGGAGCTGTGGCCCCAGCTGGGAGCTGTGGCTCAGAACTGGCCACTTGGTAATTAAAATGTAGTGCGGGAGGCGGCTTCTGTGAGGTGTGGCCTCAGAACTGGCAACTATGGTGCAA